GCGTATCCAATACGGACATACGAATCCAGAACGAGAAGTTGTCTGTGCTGGACGAGGTGACAGATGGGTGGCCAAGATCGTGTATCAGGCCAGATCCTGGCCAGTGGCGGTCAAAGTCGTGAATGTGTCGAAACACAGTGTCTGGATCGATATAAGAACACCGTTAGCCAAGATCGTGCAATACGGGTCGTTTCCGCAGGCCGGGCGTTTCGTCCGTCCAGGAAAGCGAGCTTATCGTGAATGGTAGACTCTGATCCTGGAGCACGCCCAGTCAGAACAAGACAGACTCAGGGCCGAGAGAAGAGAACAGGCACTGAGTGACCGAGAACTCCGTGTGTGCCGAAGATGGAATACCAATGGCCAACCAAGAGCATGCTAAGGCCCCAACCAGGGTCCGCTGAAGTCAGAATGACGCAGTTGCAAGACCCCCCGCGTTTCAAGGTGTTGAATCGTGGAGAGTTGGTGGATACGGGTACACAGCCAGAAGAACGTTCCCCGGTGACAACCAGGATGGATGCCTCCCCACAAGTCAGCGAAAGTCAACTAGACAGTTCAGGATGTGATCCTGGTGATGGCGACACCCTGGATGATGACCAAGGTGGTATCTTTGTGGATGCGCCTCCAGAATGGACTACTGAATTCGAAGAACGCCAGGGGAGCGAAACGCTCGCAGAGGTACACCCTGAACAGGATACTTCAGGGCCTTCCCCAGAACCAGCGTCTTGGGCACCACTCGAGAAGTTGGAGATGGAATACGAACGCTGTATGAGGGTTAGCGCGGAGGACCTGGACTTGGAACCAGGTGTGTACATACATGAAGGGAGCGAGATGCTGGTACAATTACGGGACCAGTTGGTCATGCTGCCAGAATTGAGCGAATTATACCCAGAATGTGACATCGATCAGGCTGATGTGGGAGTCCCAGGTGAGACCTCCCCCGAAGATGAATCCAGGATGCGTGCCATCCTGAAGCGCCATAGAAAGATTTTCCTGGGCGACGTCAATGCCACACCTGCTCCCGCTAGAGGAGTAGTATGTGACCTCGATATGGGAGATGCCAAACCTATCGCGTTGCGCCCAAGGTCAATTGGACCGCACGTGGCAGTCAAGGTATACGAGCTCCTCAAGAAATTGCTCGAGGACAATCTGGTTGAACATTCTGAATCGCGGTGGGCATCTCCAGTTGTGATCGTGCTCAAGAAAAATGGAGTGGACATCAGGATGTGTATTGACTATCGACTTGTGAATAATTTCATGCGGCTGTCTAGCTTTCCATTACCTCTCATCGACGACCTGCTAGTTTGTTTTGAGAAAGCACTCTGGTTCATGAGCCTGGATATGGCCAACGGTTTCTGGGCAAT